TATATATATGAACATATGGGATGATTGTTAAGATTGACGAGATAACCTTTTTTTACTCTTGGCAATGGTCTAACTTATAAAATTAGCGGAACTATTTTACTTGTTTGGAGCGGACACAATACAAAGAATGTGAGTCTTTTTCATCTCTTGCCTGACCTTTGATTTAATTATGTTTGTCTTTTTTCTATTGCAGATTTTCAGTTAACATTACTCCACGGAGAACCTGCTGTTTGTGGGCAGTTCCATCCTTGAGTGATACACGGTCCATAATCGACTTTCTCACGCATCCGTTCACAGGGTGCATCCTGTTGCATACTTGAGCCCAAAAAACCCTGCTTGCATTTCGTTTTGGACTGCCATGCAATTAAACCATGATTGATAATCCAAAGGAAAGGAAGAAAATAGTGGCCTTCGGAATGCCTGAATCATTGAATATCAATGCACTTTGCAATGAATTTAGCAAGAGCACCGTTGTTATCCAATGCAATGGAGATGGGGAAAACAAAAGCAGTCCCAACCACACCTCAACATCAAAACTTNAAAACTTCCATTCGATTGTGTTTCAGAGAGTGTTACAGCAAAGCCTACGACACTGGATTTTGCATCAATTAAAGTGATTGAATTGTCCCGACGTTTGCGTGAGGTCATGGCTTGTTTACTGACTGAACGTACCAAAAGAAGACAGCTGGAAGAAAAAATCAAAACACTTGACGCAATGCTTAGGGAATGCGAGAAAGGATCCACTAGAGAAGCGTGTCAAGTGTTTCGACCCAGTGGAAATCGGACGCAGGACAGTGGTAATCAATCCGACCAGAGCGTAGCGACAAAAGGTGTCCTGGATAAACTTGCCCGATCCGAAGAAATGATCAACACACTGAGAAACGAAAACCACATGTTGAAAAATGACCTGCGGGAAGCTAAACGAGTTCTGGAATTGGAAACGGGTGAAAAAATTGATAATATTAATTTATGGTTAAAATCGCTAATTATGGAACGAGGTGGTGGATCAGACAGACGAGGGAACTCAGTTGGTGGAGGTTGGCGTGGTCGGCAGCAACAGATAAGTTTGCTAAAGTCGAAAGTGAAAAGTTTGGAATCTAGACTAAACTCTCTGTCTCCTTCGCGATTTCCGGTGTTTTTCGGACCGAGTGAAAACACTGACATTGCTGGTGTAAATCAAACATCGGGTGCAACCACTCTAGGCATTGGGACAGCTTCTGGTAGTCAAGATCTATTTGTTGTCCCCAGTGGATTCACAGAGCCACCTTTTACACAACGTCACAGTGCCAAAGAGAAGAATAAAATGGTAATGATGCTTGAACAAGAAAATGAGAAATTGAGAAAAGATGTAGAGCTATTCAAAACGAAGTATGCTAAAACAAAAGCACGTGAAAATAACTTGTCAACTGAAGTTCGAGAATTTAAGAAAAAGATGGAAACTCTTCTGGACAAAGGGCAACATGATGATGAGCTCATCACTGCATTGGCGGATAACAATAAACAACTAAAAGAAAGTGTCAAACGTGAACAGGAAATGAGATCGAAATTGGAACAAGATGTACGAAAGGAAACTGAAAGTCTGACAAGCAGTTTGACACAAAAGAAGAACGAAGCAGAAAAACTAGAGGTAGCTTTTCTTCAATATGTCTTGGAGTTTAAAACGTTGACTTACGAATGACCCGCAATCTGTTGCAGACAACTGACTCATGATGGTGCCTCGAAACAAAACGGTTTTGCTGGTTATGAGAACAATACACTAAGGTTTTATGTTCCACTTTCAGTTGGTATTGTTTCGGTCATACTGTAATTCTGATATCTGAATAACGGTTCAACTCGGTCTCCTTATCGCACGCCATACTTGCTTATGAGCCGGTGATGTGCTAGCTCTCGGAATCTTTTAAAGGCCTTGATTTTAGAGTTTTGACATTCGGACATTACCGTTGCCTAGCCACTGTGATTGAATTGGTAATAAAACAAAAAGGAATAGTTTTGCCTAAAGCATTTCCCACTGATAACAGCTCAGATAAGTAGGAGAATTATTCCACTTCGTTTGGTAGCTCTGATTATGTTATACACTTCAATCGCAAACGTGTTACGCAACAAGAATAACAAAGTAAAATTTCGTTTTCTTGATTAGCTTACCTGCCGGTAATCGTAAAACTAAGAAAAGTTGAGCTCTGCAATTCTGATTTATGGTAACCCACCCTTGTGTGTTTATATTGCGACAGCACACTCATTTACATCTCGGCTTATTTTGCGACTGGAAAACCTCTTAGAACCATTAAGGTGATTATGCGGTAATATTTTGTGGACTGGGTGTTTTTAATCTCGACAACTTTGACAGTGCAACCGATGGGTTACTTGCAAGTAGTGTGAGAGCGATTGAATAAAATGTCTTCAGGGAGCACAACGGGTTGGAAGATTCTTCTCCCGTTCATGAAGTATAACATGTAACATATATTTGGTTTGCATTTCTAGTTGATTAGTATAACCTAGTTGATTCTCTACGTATCTGAATTTTTTCGGTAAAACTATTTTGATTTAGAAAATCCTCTTTCAAAAGGACGATGAAATTCGCGAATTACAGAAGTTGCTCAAAAATGTTCAAAGCTCATCAACACTGCCACAAGAATCGACCTTTTCGTCTGAACCGGTGAATGAAACTAAAGCAGTATCAATCGGGAAAGCAGGAAACACGGATGGTGCAAATACGACCAAGGAAATCACCTTATTACAAGTGGAGCGTGATGGATTAAGGAAATTGGTGGAATCCATGAATGAACGTGTAGATTTGTTGTTAGAAGAAAATTGCAAGTTGAAAAATGTAAGTCGTTTCTTTTCACATTCTGTGGTTAGAGATCAATGTTTCAATCAGAGATAACGCCATTTATTCTTTTTTTTCGGTTATTTTGTGACCATGTGAAACTGATTTGTTATAATTTGATTTGAATCATAACGTGTTCATTTTTGTCAGTTAACTACTGAAAAAAAGAAATATTTTTGTGAAGACTGTTTCGATTAGCTGAAAAGAATAAACCGACGATCATGCTCGAATCCCAGACCATTCAGACGATTACTTTCCTCTAGTTCATACCCTCAATGTTTCCAATGATTCACATTTACACTACTACACCGCATTAAACCTTATTGGTCACTTTAACATGACTGCAAAGATAGCATCTCGAGCAGGACTGTATACGCTCATATGCACAAAAGAATGAGTGCTTTGCAATTCTTCTCCGCTTGTGGGTTCCATTCTCATAAATTATGGTAGCACACTTGAAAATTTCAAAGAATTTTGTTTGTGATAACCCGACAGCTAGCACTAGACAGCCTGGCTCCATGGTTGGGACTTAACTACAATGCAGTATGCAGTGTTTGTATCTGCCCCCCGGGTAGGGAGTCAAAGCCGTTGCGTCTTGGGCCCATGGTTCTATAAATTATTCTATTCCATTAAAATTCACATGCTTCCGCATCTGGTACATGTTTAGTGAACTCCGAAGGAACGTACTCATCATCATCGTGTAGTTAAATACAGTGAAGTGAACTTCAGCGATCACTGTCAAGTCCATAATGTATACAGAACAAGAGACAATGCGTAAGATGACCAGGGGTTGAACCTGTTTTGAGTAAGGGAAGTAAGGGAGGTGAGGAAGAATGCTCATCTCTGTGGTGCACCATTTAACTCTACACGCTTTCAAGCATTCTAGCCTGATAAGAGGTGACAACATGAAGGCCACTGCTGTCGGTTCGTTGGCGTATCCTTCATTGTGCCCAACCAACCAATTACTTAATCTTTTTGCCCCCAAACTGACAAAGGCAGGGAGCGCTTACTCTGTCTACTTTCTTCATGCTTCCACCTCATCTGGTGATCTCCAAGGGATTTTCATCGAATTGGAGCAGCTACATCGAATAAGGTGCGGTGCTGGAGTACGAATCACTTTAGAACAATACATATGCACTGGATCTTGTGAATTTGCATGGATAATATAAGGTAAATTATCCGTTCGAAGACAGTTTTTCGAGAAAAAAATAAGGAACGAAATATGAACAGGTTTTCATTCCATTTACTTTGAAAAAATAATTATACGCCAATTCACTTTCGCACTGTCACGCAGCGGTTTTGGTTATTGCTTTTCGACTAACGCGTTGGTTGATCAAAGAGAAAGGAGTGAACGAGCACTATCGGATTGAAAATCCAGATGTTAAGTGGGTCAGATCTGCACAGAAAATGGGAGAATATGCGAGTGTGATTGTTTAAGACACTTGGATCCAGTGTATCAAACCAATTTACTACCCTATGTCATTCAGAATAAAGTGTCCTTTATATCTTAGTCCCGTGGTTAGAATTTTCTCGCCCGTATGCCAATTCTCAGTTTGATCACCCCTGGTATTCAACCCCGCGGTACCTGTCTCGACAAACGTCACGCCGATCCAGAGGATGGTTCATTTAAGCACGAAACAACTGTAAAACCATCATACAGAAGGCTATAGGAACGCTTTGTTGAGCGCGAAACAACGGAGTTAGCAACCGCTCCTTCTGGAAGCCGGACGTTCTGGCCACTTACTAAGGAAGTGTCCCGTAACTTCTGTTCCACTAACTTCCCACCCATTTTTCAAACATCCGGCTGGTTGGAAAAAGCCGAAGTGTTTGCCTCCCATTTTCCTTCCGATTCTACTCTAACCGAATCATCCATCCAACCCGTCACATCTCCCTAGAGTGAACTGTCTTTTCATACCATTCATTTCCACCAGAAAGATAGGTCAGATCCTAGTATTGCTACATCCTCAAAAGTCACATGGGATTCCTCCCATAGTCCTCCTAAATGTGCGTCCGAGAACTGGCCCCTCTTCTTGGCCGCTTAGTCTCTCTAACCTTACATTTCGGGAATTTTCAACCCCATGGAAAATATGAAAAGCACTTCCTATCTCCAAACTCAACAAACGCTCCGCCCCATCTCTCTCACTTCAGTTATTTCGAAGATTATGGAAGCAGTCATTACTGATCAACTCCACCGCCAGCTGAAGCAGGACAAGATGCTTAGCGACCATCATTATGGTTTCCTCAATGAGTTACCAGGCGTGTTTTATTGATCTTATTGAATAATGCAAGCAGAAAATGCTTTGATCGAAGTATAACCCTCCATCCAGACTCTGCCCATAGAACTCTCGGTGAAATCGTACACCGCTTTTATAATGACAAATCCCTTTATCATTCTCATCGTTTCCACAAAATCTCAATTGTTCCGTGTCTGAAACGTAATCTAACTAATACACAGAGAGAGGGATATCAATATGCTCATTTTGAGTTCTGTTGTATGGTTCAGATGTATATCTTTTGTTTATTCGCCCATTCTTTTTTTCCATGTTGTGTGCGACAGACATTTTGTGCTTTTTGACGTTACCGTTAGCCCGTAAACTTACAGAGGTCATGCCAAATCAAAAACAGCACAAGAATGAAACGGTAGGNACGGTAGGTTTATGTTAGGAATGTTTTGGTTCACGAATTTGATGAAAATACGATTCAAACCGGGTTTGATTCTCCCTTGTACAAACGTCGCGCACAGAAGACCATCGAATCAGTATGCCAGCAGCGAGTAACCTTAAGACGAAGTTAACCAGGCCGATTCTTTTATGCATTTCACAACAGGACTGATAAAATACAAAGCACTGTAGAACACTCTTTAAACTGATCCATTAAAAAAATGAAATTTTACCACTGGATGTCTTTCTATTTCACTGAACTTTATCAAACACTCGACGTGACTCATGGGGGTTTACTTGCAATCTGGCTGCTTATCTAGACAACAATTTGTGATGTAAACCGATCTATCTAAATCTTTATTAGTGTTCTTGTACAAATCTGCCTCATTTACTTGGTTCAAGTGGGATTACTTTTGAATTCGAATCGAAACGTAAGACTGTCCTTCGGATTTAGGTTACTTTCACACAATCATCTGACATCATCTTGTTGCATTACCCACCGTCCCAAAGAGTTGAAAACCTCCATGAATCACAATAAACAGGATGTTCATCTTTAATTTGACTCGCATTACTGTTGGCAAGTATTAAAATCATCTGATTCTTGCTTAATTTTTTTCAGGAGTTGTCTATCCTGGAAAATGCGAAGTCTTCAAAAGGCACTGCATACTGGCGTCTGGCGCGGCACACTAGATCGGACGGACTGAAAGAAACCGAACCGAATGAAAAATCCCACGTTGGTCAGACAAAAATGAGCGGCAATCACAGTGTAAATATGGACCATCTACTGAATCGTCAGTTCTTGATTGATGTTTTGTCTAAATCTGCGCTCAGTGCCACCTCAGCAAACATAGTATCAAAACAGATCAACGTACTCCAATGTGCCTTGTCCGATACGCTGAAGGAGAATGAAACACTGAAAGAATTGCTTGATAAACTCCGTTCTTTGCGCCGGGAAGATTTCAATTTGCTCTCCGAAATCGTTCGACAATTACGGGCGGTCTCGGAAGATGAAAAAGTTTGACGCAAAATGCAACGCTATTGCTGGACTGTGATATGCATTTTTAAATTCCGTTTGTCCTACTCATATTGTCTTTACGATTCTGTCATTTCTCAGTTAATGACAACCAATGTGGAAAAATTAATGTTTTTACTCACGATCCAATCAAACTATTTATTTATCTATGAATATTTTTTTCTTAGAGTCGAATACCCAAATGTATTCGTCTAACCAGTATTTTGGAGTATTGGGCAATAACCGCCGATTGCTTCAATCAAGACGCAAACTCCGATCGACCCGGCTTTTGATGAAATCATTTCCACACTTGTACAGTCAACCAACCAGGCACTGTGGCAGATCTAGTTGAGGCCAGTGTGAATGAACGGGACAGTTATGCAAGAGGGACGAGGTGGACAGTCGTGAAGTATACACAGTCTGTCAGTTATACACGTGTTTACCGACCAATGTGATCATTATGCTTATATCTGTCACAAAAATGTCGCGATTGCAAAGTTGTTTTATCTTTGAACTAAATTCTGTTTAAGACTGTTTGTTCACAATATCTAAAAGAACATCAATCTTGAAGTGTGTGGTTTGGACTTCGTGGAACATACGCAAGAGGTGTATTTCCAGTGATGTCGGACAGGAGTAGTATCTCCGTGCTTTTATTCCTTCTTTGAATATACGGTTGTTCAACTACTTCTATGAAGCGGTCAATCAAAGGGCTGCCATTTGTTACGAAGAAAACGGGGAAAGTTTCATTAACTTTTGCGTTCCCTGTCCCACATTCCACCTCTTTGGTCTCCATTACTCACCCAACTCCCACATGCGGCTCAAAGAAACTGTATCAACAACTACACCAGAAAACCGCTCAATTGGCACGGTAAACAAGGTTGAGAGTAACCCAGGTATCAAAGCATCGGCCAGGCAGCATGCGTGGATAGTGTCCGCTTCAATGGCAGATAAATTCTAAGGATTGAACCTACGGTTTTCATGACAATCTATCGAGCTAACTAGTATGCGTGATGATGACACCTCGTCTGTTGATGAAACGTCTCCACACAAATTGCCAAGCTCGGCTACCGGGCGAAACGGAATTCAGTTGGCCTGAGCTACGAGAACCGACTTTCAAGAATTTGTTATCAGTCAACTATATATTCAGGCTATTAGCTTATATGTAGTTGAAATATAGTGTCGGATTTAATAGCATCTTTTGTCTGTTCCTTCACTTGTTTCCGCGGAAGTAGTATATTGATTGCATGACTAAAGGTCTATGTGCGCTTTTCGGTGAGCAGCTTCCGGTGTGGCTATGAAGCGAGACAATTAAGTCTATCACAGTAGAGGTGGCTTCGCATTTCGTTGACACGACTCACTCTGTGAATGTGATCGGAGCGTTCTGAGCTCTGTACAGAATAAAAATAGATCATCGAGACGCGAGATTTTACATTCAGTCTCACGGGGAAACACAGTGAGCGTTCTTGTCCACAACCCCCTTTTGTGCGCTCGAAAGCAATTTCAATGAGCACTGATTTCCCCTCGGCCAGACCCGCAAAACGTGACCAGACATCACACATCAGAAAAAAGGATAATTGACTCTTGATGAGTCTTATATCCGAAGAGGATTATTATTAAGACCCGATGACATGGATGTTCAATCCACCCTATCTTCCTTTGCAAGCTCCCTTTTGTAATTATTCGTATATTGCCTTTAAGTGGCATGAATAGGAAATATTGTAAGCGGACTTCTTTAGTGCTCAGTTGGTCTGTTAAAACATTTGAGGTAAATTATATCTTTGCCATGGTAATTAATTTTCTTCTGTTTTGGGTCAATACCTCCGTCACACTGTCCATTTGTCTACCAGGTGTTAACTACTGATAGGAAGAGATGTATTCGTGAGCCAAATCAACTGTTCGTCAAGTAGATGGTAACGAAAATCACTGTAACATACTTCTATCAGATTTAAGTCAGGTATGCGTGAGATTTGATCAACTTGTCATACATGCACAATTCAAAGACAGAGGGAGATGTTAATAGGAGAGCAGTTAAGCGAAACAATAGGAAATTCCGCAAGTATGGCTAGAAAAATTAGTGAGATGACGATAGTCTAACAGAAAAACGAAAAAAATTTCAAGGGCAGTTACTAGGACAGAGGGCGCAGCAAAATGCAGAAAAGCTAAACAGTTTTAGATGAGGAAAATAAATTCCACAGGTACGTACCGTTTGTAATTAGGTGAATGTATAAGGTCGCTAGTAGTACAGTTACGGAGCTTGTAGGGAACCATCAACAAAAGGGAAAGACTTCTGAAGTTGTTATTCTATACGGGCGTGAACCGATGTCGGTTTTAATAATGGAGTGGCAAGTTGCCTGCAAGATATGGATGGAGTTCAAGGTCTTATGACCCTGTCTAAACAGACGCCCAATATGAAACAAAATTTAGCAGATAAGAAAAGGTTTGGAATATGATGACATTCGTACTTAACAGGGATAAAAGGAGTGAAGTTATTGTCTATATTAGTTCTGTAGGTAGGTATCATGAATAACAGAGTCACCAGTGAAACAGCGAGATCTAGCAAGATGAAACAATTGTATGCCCAATGTTATGAGCGATAATTGAGGCATGAACTATCATCGTTGCTGGACTTTGCACAGAATAAGTTGCTCAATGATCAATCACTCAGGTTCTCATTGTTTTTCGAAAAATACTATTTTATTTTAATGCGATGAAAATGTTTGTGATGACCCACAAACAGCACTAGACACTTGTTTTGTCCTCTTTGGGACTGGACAGCAGTGTGTGCTTCTTGTATCCTTGTCAGAACTCGAACCGCGAACCTTCGAGTTGGGACTTCAAACCCTTACCCCTGAGCTACAGGGTCGACGGTCATCACGTCGTGCGAATGGCTCATTACAATCGTTTCCATGGCATTTAAATACATTTGACTGGTGGGTAACTAACGATCTCCCAAGGAGTGAAACCCACATCCAAGATCATCAACAGTGTCTGGTGCCTGTGAAGAACCGAATGAGATAATCCAAGCATTCACCATCTATAGGCTTCAGCCCCTTGGATATTTATATTTAAAAATAGAAAACTCCCAGGAGATATGATAGAAATTTGTGAGCTAATAAATTGTTTGTCTAGTCTTGGTCCAGAAATCCTGTTTCAGGAAGCCTTGGATAACCGGACACGGGAGTAAGAGAGGAACCTAACCAAAACTCACTCAAAATTGATGAGCAGGTCTTCCTTCTTCAGTTGTAGAGCAGTCAACATTTGAAGCAGATTAATGCGGAGTTAATACAATTGTAAGCCGTGCAGACACTCAAGACTGCTTTAAAATAATGGTGGTCTGAACTGGTCCCCGAGGTGGCGGTCTGAGCATTCATCCATTGATAAAAGCAAATTAGTAAACTATCACAGTGGGTACTCAGCTTGCATACTTTTTGTTTGCTGCATGTGTTTCTTTTGTATGTTATCTGGTGGATGAACGCCCATGAATAATAATCTATCGCCACTGAAATGAGATAGAATATTTTTTCCATTTTCCTACGTTTCAGTAAGGAGTTAACAGCTTCTCCATGCATACTACCGAAGGATATCTGAACGTCCCTTTGACCACGTCCATTTACTGTGCCCTGTGTATACTGAATTGAACTTAATGTGGTGAACAAGACTCATCATCGACATTTGTTAATTTTCTCTGATTGTCTTCTCCCGCTCACTGAACCCTAATTGTTCCGAACTATTACACTAATGATCGTCCAATATTTTGACACAACGAACGTGCTCCGCACGTAGTAAAGCTTTAAAGAAGCACCTAATCCTCTGTCGCATATTGATTTCGTCCATTCGTTTGCAGTGACACATTACACTGATGCCATAGGTGAATCATTTCAGAGTCACTCGAACCTTGTAGTTAATTTTCCGTTACCACTTACACTTACTGCACAAATAGTTCAACTATAATCTATTCCGTACCGTTGAACTTCAGATGAGTGATTGCAAAATTCAGTTTTACGGGATAAATTTCTCATGTAAACTGCTCATCATGTAGGGTTAAAGAAATCGCCACGTATTCGATTTACAGGAACAAAAGACTGTCGTCATCACGCTTTAGATCGGACAGTCTCTGTGCCACTGCTTACTCACTGTCCTCAATCTGAGGGTACTTGAGAGGTTTCATTTTGTTTGTCCGATAAGAATTATCAATAGTGTAATACCATACCTAGATCTTTTTCCCAATGCGAGTAGACACAGGAAGAAAGTCAACCTCAAAATTGGTAGTGATATTACTTCGCCCCTCTTGTGTAATTGGATTTGATCTCAAATTTTTTATCACAGACTGTAGTCAGTTCCCAGACGACCTCAAAGTCGTCACGAAATTCCGGTGAGTTTCACCGTGAAATGAGACATACCATAGCAGATTCGCCTAAAACGGATTGGTTCAGTACACACAAACTGAGGCCTTGTGATGAGATAATGACAGGGTTTTATAATGAATTCAGTGCAGTGTTCTGTTGTATCGCTTCTGCGATGTACTGCGAACTCACGTGGTTAAAAGTGCTATTGCGTCAAAACTATCAATGCATCAGAGCACTTATTCCAAACCCATCTAGATCAGAGAAACCATTTCATCCCCAACCCCGTTCAACTGGTACACCCCAGGAGATTGATTGATTCCGAACAGTCTGTCAATAGACCCTAATGTCCCAGCCAGTTGCTTCCAGTTTACTTCGTTCCCGAACAGTTCCACTCCTGATATCGTATCCAGCCTAATTTATTTCATTAATAAATCTTGGACAAATCTGAGCCATTTGTCCACTGCGCACATAGACTCTGCACTCGATCGCTTCATCTTCTTGTTAAGATGGAGGATTTTGTTTGCCCAGTACAACTTCTTACTCATGAAATTGAATGCCCAAAACCAAGATAAAAAATAAAGTTTCTAAACCTCCTGTCAGCTAGTTGAGAGCACTGTGTTGTCTTCTTTCTTTGTTTTCCTGTAAATGGGACCTTCCCTACCT